AGAATTAATTGGGATGGTATAGCGGACAGAGAGATTGAAGATATAGATGGACAATTGAGTCAATCGCAATAGTAACTAAAGTGCGTGAATCGTTCGTTGAGAATTATAGCGTGTGTTTAAGTGTATTGCAAAGTTGTATTGAGAAAGAATAAACTAGTTTTATTTAAAAAAGGACTTGTATCGCTGAAGTTTTTCGGAAGGAAGTTTTACGGGAAAATAACAAACGACCAGAGATGTAACAATATTAAGTAATGTATCAAAATTCATACTTACTTGTAATATGGAATAATTATGTATATAAATTCATATTTACCTATAATATGGGTCAATAACATATCTAAATTATTTTGTTTTTCTAACAGGGTGATTAACCTTTGGAATGGGTAGCCTTTAGATGTTGTGGATGTTTAAGAGAAAGCTTCATAACTATATGAATAATATGGGCTGGCTTTAAGATTTTTAAAATAATGTATATAATTAATAGTTTTAGTTTAGTTTTGAGGATGGGAAAGCCAAGATGTACCAACAGGTCCCTTGTTGTCCCAGAACAGTATGTTATGTAACATTGATAATTACGTATAACCTCGATTAATTAAATAATGTATCTAAAATCATATTTACCTATAATGTGGATTAATAATATATCAAGATTCATACTTATCTATAACATGGATTAAATAATGTATTTAAATTCATATTTACCACTAATATTGTGAGTTAGCAAATTCAATTTTTATTCTGTTGTGGTTTTGGTTATCATTCATTTATTATTTCTTCTATCATTTAGTTCATTCTTGATTTTTTAGTTTCCTTAAAGTGCTAACTCACCTTCTAGCTGATCTCGTTTATTTTTAGGAAGTTTATATGTAATATGAGACTGAAAACAGTTTCCCCTAGTGTGACATATGAATATTATTAATGTTGCAAAAGATTATTTAAATTTATGATCACATGAGATGTACTCTCCTGATCTAACAAAGTAATTGTCATGATATAAAAGACTGTTTAGATATTATTGATTAATTTATTTTGTGAGTAGATATTTTATTATTGTTTAGTTTTTGTTATAATAAGAGTTAAAAGCAGATGATTGAAGGAAGTTGTGTTTATAATTAATTAATGTTGAGACTATCGAATGTCACGTGCAATACACCGACATCAAGAATATAGAGATTTATAGAAGGAGGACAGATGATTAAGTGATAAACATATAAATAGTGTGAGATGAGCGGAAACAGTAGACAGACAACAGCAGAAGAGAGTAAAGTTACGGACAAGGAAAAGTTTGGCGTGAAGTTGGCTAATGTAGAAGTGATAGACCTAACACTTACTATGTTAGTGTAAGACTAACAGTAGAAAAGGAGATAAGAAGAAGAATTTATTCAGTCAAAGCGTGGTTCTAAAGTAACTGAATCAGCCTGAGTGTACTTTGACAAAAGGAACAGAGGATCTTCAAAAGGAGGAAGACCAAACCAATATGCACACAATAATTGTAAGTGAACTATACACAGAATACTATTACGATAGAAATAGGGAAAGGTAGTTCGGCTTGTCAACTGAAATGCTAAAGTAATTGAATAGGCCTAAGTGGACTTTTGACAAGAAGAGAACTATATAGTATTTATGATATCCCTATGATCTCTATAGTGTAAAGAATTTGTTGTGCATACGTTAAACTATTTCCGAATATATATATATTATTTTGTAAACAAGTGGAATGATTGTTCTTATATTGTTGAATTTATCACTAACAAGTCACAGACACCTAAGCCCAACAATAAAATAGTATATATTTATACTATTAAGAAGTACAAGTAAAAGCCTTTTACTTTAACAAATGGCAAAAAGTATATTTTGAATTCTGACAGTAATCATTGGTCACTAAAACTTAGAAGGATATGGTTTATTTCTGAGGGAGGTTGTACAGTTATGATACACAATATAAGCAGCACAGCGTTTGACTGAAAGTTGTCTATAATGTTTTCCAAGATAAGTTAGCCTACATTAAGTATTAGATGCTGTAAGGTTACCGTAAAGACACAGACTGATGTTGCATAATCAATGAGTGTTACAAAGTGTGATTTCGAGACTTGTGGAGGATGAGACCATGGACAGGTGACTTGGGGATGGATGGACTCTGGACATAATCAGAATATCACATTCATTTAAATGTACCAAATTCAAAATTCAGTCTGCATTCTAGCCAAACACTGCCTTACCTGATCTAAGTTAGACTACAGAAAGTAATCTCTACGTGATAAGAGAAAACCCAACATTTTCTGTAAACAGAGAAAATAAATTTGGCAGTCTTTCATATAGCAGAATATGACTCTTACATAACTGTTGATAACAATCTTTACATAACAGGATATGATTTTTATATAACTGAATATGATCTTTACATAACAGAATATGATCTTTATGTAACAGAGTATGACTCTTCTGTAACTGTTTATAACAATCTTTATATAACAGGATATGATTTTTATGTAACAGAGTATGACTCTTCTGTAACTGTTTATAACAATCTTTACATAACAGGATATGATTTTTATATAACAGAATATGATCATTATGTAACAGAATATGATCTTTATGTAACAGAGTATGACTCTTCTGTAACTGTTTATAACAATCTTTACATAACAGGATATGATTTTTATATAACAGAATGTGATCATTATGTAACAGAATATGATCATTATGTAACAGAATGTGATCTTTAGTAACAGAATATGATCATTATGTAACAGAATGTGATCTTTATGTAACAGAATATGATCATTATGTAACAGAATGTGATCTTTACGTAACAGAATATGATCATTGCGTAACAGAATGTGATCTTTACATAACAGGATATGATTTTTATATAACAGAATGTGATCATTATGTAACAGAATGTGATCTTTATGTAACAGAATATGATCATTATGTAAGAGAATATGATCATTATGTAACAGAATATGATCATTATGTAACAGAATGTGATCATTATGTAGCAGAATATGATCATTATGTAACAGAGTATGACTCTTCTGTAACTGTTTATAACAATCTTTACATAACAGGATATGATTTTTATATAACAGAATGTGATCATTATGTAACAGAATATGATCATTATGTAACAGAATGTGATCATTATGTAACAGAATGTGATCTTTACATTGTTCAAATTCATGTTTTGCTGCATAAAGTTAATTAATAATGAGATTTTGGTTCCACATTTCAAAAAACAAATACTCAAAGAATGATACAAGAATTATCTGCTGTGAATTAAGAAACTGAATTAAATGGAGATACTGATCAAATGTAGAAACAAAATTTGAAATAAATTATTAAATAGTCAAGATAAGCATGTTCAGTATAGTAAATAACAAGGGTGGCTGCAAGTAAATAACCCAGGTTAGCTCAAAAAAAAAGTATAAGGATAATATTAATAAAAAGCATTATAAATATTAGAAGTTTAAATTGACTGTAGTAATTGGAAACATGGAAGGTTAAAAAGACCAAAAGAGTTGGTCAAATGAGAAAGTAGGAAATCAAAAGTATGTGTAAAAAGATTGACTGAACATGCAAAAATTAGTAGTAAAGATTTCTTTAAATACATTAAGGGTAAGCAAAATGTTAGGATGAGAGTAGGGTTTTTGAGGGACATCAGAGTAAGGTTCATATCTGATGATTATGAGATGGCTAGGTCATTAAATTCCACTTTTCCTTCAATTTTAACTAATAAAGATTTAAGAAATATCTTTCATCCTGAACAACATGATCACATTAATTCAAGTTTGTTAAGAAAGAATTGGGAAGTATGAAGAATGATAAAGCTCCTGGGCCAGATAATATTTCCCCAAGGGTTTAGAAGGTGGTTAAAGATTACATATGTGTGTAACTAGCTATTTGTTGTAAGTCTCTGAATAGTGGACAAGCACATGAAGATTGGAAGTTGGCTGATGTTACTCCTCTTGTCAAGAGTGATGATAAAAATTGTCCCAATAAATTATAAGTCTATTAGTCTTACAAGAGTGGTGGGAAGTTTTGGAAAGTCTGATGAAAATGCTTTGCAAAGTCACTTAACAAAGTTTAAATTTTTGTTGAATAGTCAGCACAGATTCACTGTGGGAAAATCTTGACTTACTAATCTTTTGACATTCTTTCAAGATGTTACTGCTCCTGTAGATGAGGGTGCAGGCATTTATTGGGTATATCTGGATTTTCAGAGGGTTGTTATAAATAAAATTCAGTCAAACTGGATTAATGTTGCAAGGGCTTAGTGTCAGAACTTGTATGCTTTTTGATTTATATCAATCACATAGATGAAGGATTCTATATAAATATAATAGTACTGTCTGTTGTATGTCCATGTAACTACTTCACCAAAATTGGTATGGAGGTTCATTAGGTTCATGCAGAGGAACAAGCAAGTTTTCAGTTTTGCATTTTGCAGTTTTTATGGATATTTTTGCATTTTTTACCACTACTTCATCCCCTGGAGATGGATCTTCACCAAATTTGGTATTGAGATTTATTTGGTCCATGAAGAGATACATACAGATTTTCTGTTTTGCATTTTGCAGTTTTTCTATGCAGAGATAAATGATATTTGTGGTTTCACATTTTGTGTTTTGCAGTTTTTATGGATATTTTTGCATTTTTTACCACTACTTCATC